TTAGAGAATTAAAATTATAATTATAATTTGACTCCACCATGAACTAGGTACTATATATACATACATCATCACTAAACTCTTATTAGGTTTTTTTTTTTTCATTTTACATATGAAAAGAGGCACAGATAATAACTTGCCTAAATTCTTGAAGGTAGTAAAGGGTGGAGACAGAATTCAAATTCAGGAAAGCTTCAAAGTCCATGCTTTTTCAATTATATTAAACTGTGCCAGGTTCCTTACAAATCATATTTCAAACATTTATTAGGCACTTGCTGGTTGCAAAGAATACAGACTGCCTGTCATCAAATGATGCAAAATATTTTAGGACACTGTTTTGACAGTCAAAAGGTGGAGGCCCTGTATATCAGGCTGAAAAGCATGCAGCTAAGCTGCCTAGTAAGCATTTTGAAGTTTTCTGATAAACAGAACTCACTCAGCAACAATGCCTTCCTAGTTCACCTAATTTTTTAGATTCTACCCAAAGCCTAGTGACTCATGGGACAGATATCCTGTACTTTTTGTACAAAAAGATCAAAAAGAAGACAGTGAGGTGATGAAGAGGCAAATGAGATGGGTAGCAAAGGTCTGGATTCATGAAACCTCTACTTAATGACCATAGCATTATGAAAATCTTGATTCCTGCTAAACTCTTCAGTTTTAAATAGTCTGAGGCAGTTTCTTAGTGGGATACAGTAGGACCCTTCAGCAGAATTTTTTGTTTTGTTTGTTTTTTTCAATAGTGAAAGAGCAGGTTATTAGAAGAGATAGTACATTTCAAAGAAATAGAAGTGGGCCTCAGCAGTAGAGAATGGCTCAAGGGCCATTATTAGAAAAAGTATACTCCAAAGAGTTTGGAGCTGGCCAAGCAAAAGGAGCTCAAAAGGCAGAATTTCTTTTCCCCCTCTTGTTCACCTTTGAGCTCTTTAGGGTTCTACTATTTATGTAGAAGCACCCCAGACAGGTCACTGTGTAAAGAAATGGCTACATGTAAGCTTTACATTTCTTTTTTTCTTTTTTTCAATGTTTGCAAGTTTATTTGAGCCAAATTGATGACATATGCCTGGGAGCAAGATATCAAATACTCCCTAGGCCTTACATTTTTTTAAGCAGATTAGGAGAGGTACATCCGCCCTTCCTCTACAGAATGAGCATAGTTGGCATGGACAGTTAAATAGCAGTCTAGGAACCTTCTGGAAGGAGAAGGATTGATTCCCTAACTCCTTTGACTAGAGCGGCCATGAAGGGAGAAAGACAGGGAGGGGTGGAGTGAGAGGGGCAGAAAGGAGGAGAGCAATGCTCTTGATGCAGATAGCAGCAGAGGCTAAGGAGGGTGGAACCAGTCCTGAGTTGGGCCTCAAGAACTGTAACTTTTGAGGCTCAGGTATTTTATGGGGTGAAGCCCTTTCTACTGACTACATCACAGGAAGACTCCCTGCCTTGAAGAGCCCCTGTAACTAGCAAAGGGCTCTGCTCTGGGACCTAAATCTCTGGCTAATTTACATTGACTGGGTATATCTCAGGGTTTAAAGGAAGTTAAAACCTAAAAGTCAGAACTAGACTTTTAGACTTTGTTTTATCTATTTGTATACCAAACTACAGAGAGCCACCTCATACAGGAAAAAATAAATATTAGATGAGATAAAGTTCATAAAGTCTTTCAGAACTCTGGACATAGTAACTAGAAATGGTAGAAAATCATTTCCATAGGGAGGGAGGCTCAGAAACTGTACTTCCGATTTTAACAACCGCAGCTTAGTATTTGAAGTTATTGGGATATTTTGGCATCAGTCAATCGCAGCCACGTTACAGAGTCTGACAGGATGATACAATTTTCCTTGTTGGGTTTCGAGTTCAAAAGTCAACCTCCTGGGCCGGCCGAGTGGCGCGATGGTTAAGAACTGGCTTGGGACGCCAGAGGGCCCCAGTTCGGATCCCACATATGAGGGCTAGTGACACTGCCCTCCACAGCTAAGATTCTGAACAACAGCTCAACCTGGAGCTGGGTTGCTTGTGAGTCGCCGGCGAAGGCATAGGCTGCAGCCCCTGTGGCAGTGGGTTGCCATGGGCTACCGTGTGTAGACAGCAGCCAGCGTGAGCGGCCAGCAGCCGCAGTGAGCGGCCGTCCAGAAGCTGGCGACTGATCTGCCTCGCCTGGGAAGAGCGCAATGATGGTGCCAACTTGGGCCAGTGAAGCAACGTCCTCCACAACTAGACTGAAGAACAAGACGACAGCGACTTGTCTGTTCCCCTTCCCCCAATTCCCCAGTGCTGTTCTCATCCCCCAGGTTCCCCAATAAAAATCTTTAAAGTGTTTAAAGAAAGAAAAAAAAAGTCAACCTCCTAAGTTAGCTATGAATGGAAGGGCTTGGAGAACGTGCTGTTAATCTATTCTGAAGGTCAGCCTTCAAAAATATTAACCCAACCTGGACTGATCGTGGTAATGTAAATTTCTGTCTTAAGGAGGATGAAAGGTGTTTTTCCAGGTTCCTTTATAGACATGTTTAGTGAGGGAAGCAACAAGTTACTTAGTCATCTCTGCTATGACAGGTTCAATACAGGCTGCATTGGAAGTATGCAAAGGGGGTACTTAATCCAGACTTGGAGGCCAGGAGAGATGTTCCTGAGGAAGTGATGTCTAAGTTGAAGTGGAGATACCTTAGCAAAGGAAGCTTGAAAGGAACAGAGTGCATAAGGGAAAACTGAGGTACTTCTGTCTGGCTAGAGAATGAAGTGTGAGATGGGGCAGGGATGACAAATAGGAAGACGCTAGACCCTGAAGGGCCTTCTACAAAAAATGATCATATAATTTATTATACAAACTGAGACATTTTTGAGAGTGAAATGAGACAATATTACTAATTATATGGGGACAACAGGAATAAACCAGAACTGTCCTGAGCCAATTGGGACTTATGGTCACCCTACTTGTAAGTCATGTTCAGGTGCTTGGACCGCCAGTGAAAACATAGATTGGATAGCTTCTCTTTTTACCTTATACATTTTGCCTGAGTGACTTCATCCATACCTTTGCCTTTACTTGCTCATTTCACAAATATCCGTCCAGGATGCACTTCTGGGCACTGAGGTTACAAAGAAGAAAAGACACAGTGTCTGTCCTCAAGCTCTGTCTGAAGACGACACACATCCAAAGAAACAATTCTAATAGTTATGCAATTTTAGCCCCAGCCTCTCCTCTGAGCTCTGAACTCATATATGTCATTTAGACTCAGATTGCAAAACACAGATCCGAAACAGAACTTCTCATTTCTCCTCCAAATCTATTCTTCCTTCAGCTGGTCTTATCACTGAAGTCACTAGCCACTACAATGCTGAAGGCAAAAATTCAGAAAATTACTACCTTAATCAGTGCTATCCTTCTTACTGTACATTTTAATTTCTCTACATCTTTCTTAAGTACAATGACAAAATTCTAATCAGGGCCTAACATCAATGGAAGAGAAAGGGTAAATTTTCAGGTGCTCGAATGCAATGTTTTTAATGAATAGATCCTAGTATCATACGGGACTATTTTTTCCACAACAGTACAATAAATACTGACTCATATTCCATTTGTTGACAATCATGACGTTCAGATCTGTATGTATGCCCTAGCTAGTCTCAAAACTTTTCAGTTTAGGTGAGAAAGACATGAAGATAAGTCCTGAGTGTTTGATCCTATCTCCTCTTTGTCGAGAATGTGAGGGTGGTTATAAAAGTATTAAGGTGCAGGTAAAACACCAATGTTAATGAACCATCTGTTCAACAATTGCTGCGTGAAAGGGTAATTTATGCTTTAAAGGGTAATTTTCATGTTTCTACCCTTTATTCTCCACACAGCTTCCGGAACGATCCTTTTAAAACAAATCTGATTATTCCTTGGCTCTCAACCCTTCCATGGCATTGTATCATATCCCAATAAAATACAAAGTCCAACCATGGCTTACCAGATGATACATGATTTGACTTCTTCCTCTGCTTCCCAACTTATTTCTATAATTTGCTGTGCTCCAACCACACTGGTCTCCTTGCTTCTTCTCCAACATGCCAAGCAAGTCCCTATCTTAGGGCCAATGCAATTGCCATTTCTCTTCTAGAATAGTTTCCCTCTAGAAATCCACATAGCTGCTTCTCTCACTTAATGATTAGATTTCTGCCTATGTGCCCTTCCATTAAGAGGCCTTCCTTGTCTATCCCATCTAAAAGAGCATCCCACATCACTCTTATCCCTTATCCTGCTTTTTTCCCCCATCAATCTTGCCATATTACTACTATTTAGTAACATATTATGTGTATTGCTTATTGTCAACCTCCCCCGCTACTATAAGAGGCAGGCTTTGTTTGGTTCATTGCTGAATTCCCAGCACCTAGAATAGTGTCTGCTCATTAAATATTTGTTGAATGAATAGATTTTCAGGCTACATCAAATGTAAAGCTACTCTGTGTTGATTGATATGACGCATAGAAAGATGTAAGAGTGCATAGCAAAACCTTAACTGTTTATTGAACATGGTGGGAGTTGCTTTTTCACATTATTTTTGCTCATGTGAATTTTGATTTTTTTTTTTTTTTTACAAAATGAACTTGTTTTGCTCATATACTAAAACATAAATAAGGAAGCCACATAGGGAGAAAGTGTAAATGAATTCTAAAAGAGGTTGGGCAAATTTATGAGAGACAGACTTTTTTTTAATCATTTTCGTGTTTTTTTTTTAATTAGACTTCTGAACAGATATAACAGCATCATAGTTACGCTAGACCACAGTGTGAATTCCCTTCCCCAACACTTTCTTGCAGTGTGATCCCAAGTTACTTATTTATCAGCCAGAGTCTAAATGTCTTCACCTGGAAAATGGGAATAGTGCCTGCCTCATAAGGTTATTTTTGAAGATCGAGACCATGTGCGTAACCCCCTTTGTACAATGTCTGGCATGCAATATACACTTGACATACAGCAGCTTTATAATAGTTAGTAGTAGTAGTAATAAGACGTTGGGACGTACCTAGCCCTCAAGATTGACATCACCGTGGACCACCACATCCTCTCATCACTGCGCCTCAATCTGGGCCTCTGAAGCCCAAAGAGGGGATGGTTCTTTCCAAAGAAGATAATTTCGACGTTCCGAAAGCATCTGAATAAAACGTAACCTGTTCACCCTTAAGCCAGTCGGTCCGGTTAATCCGTGAGCAGCAGCACTCCAAGACCGGATTCCCACAGGCGGCCACGGCTCGCCGTCCTTGGGGCCTGTCCCTTTAGCCTCAACTTCCTCTGCTGCAACAGGAGTGAGAATGTTAAAAACACAAAAGCAAGGGCAGTACCAGCCCGCCCCACCTCACGGCCCTCCGGCGGGGATCAAAACGGCCACCACGCCCCGGCAAGCCTCTGGCGACCAGAAACGCACCTCACGGGAAAAGTGATTACTGGTGAGACTCAAAATCAGGCCTGAGGCTCACCCGCATCCTCCCAGGCCGCTGCCCGAGGACAGCGACGGGCGCGCGGCACGCGACAGGGACACGAAGGCCAGAGAAGGGAAGGGGCGGAGGCGGCAGGCGCGCGGCGCGCGGCACGCGGCGGGGCTGCGAGAGGACCGGGCGCGCTCGCGCCGCTCGGGAGCGAGCACGCAAGCCCAGTGGCGCGCACGCGGCTGGCGGATCCTCGGCGCCGTGGAGGGGGATACCGCGAGGTGAGGTACGAGGCGCTGCATGGCGGGCGGCGGCGGCGGCGCCGGCGGCAGGGTGCGATCCCCTCTAGCGGGACGAGGAGGAGGCGGGGACCGCGATGTTCTGTGGGGATCGGGGTCGGGCTGCAACACCGGCAGTGGGGGAGACGCGGCGGGCGGGCGGGCGTGAGGCGCCAGGCCACGTCGCGCTGTGGGGGAGGGCGGCGCGGGGCGGGGCCTTATCCCTTGGGTCCCGCCCCTCGAGGAGCCAGAGTCTTTGAAGCCGTCTGGCTGGACCTGCGCTGTCTCAGCGTCGTATTTCAGTTTCTGCAATGGAGCGCCTAACTACATTAACAGCCACTGTCTATCATACCCTTACAGACGTTTCCCATTGCGTTTTCAAGTAGGCCTTGCAAAGTATAATAGGTATTAAATCTACTTTTTAGAGCTGAGGCTGGCCAAGGCTCAGGTAAAATGACTTGCCCAAGGTCATACAGCTAATAACGACAGGAGGATTTGAACCTTGTCTGCAAAACTCCACAGCCTGCGCCTGTCCTCTGTACCACACTGAATGCTGTTCTTCACGCACCTTCCATCCTCCCAGTAACTTCTTTGAATTTGACAAATGTTAATTTGGAGCTAGCACCCATCCTTTTGTGGATGTTAATGTCAGAAATGTGTCTTGTGAGAAGAAGGGAGCAGAAGAAAGAAGATTCTGCTTATTGCAATATTTTGCTTATGCCGTGGAAATGTTTATCAGACTGTTTATACATCCTTTACTTGACCCTTTTTACTAACCTGTTGAAATTGCGCTGCTATTCACTACCTGTAAGGCATTGTACAAGTAACATAATCTTTCAGGGCTTCCTTTCCTTCTTTGAAAAAGTAGTATGCCTCAGGTTGTGAGAATTCAAAGAGACAATCTAAATACAGTGGTACCACAATACCTGGCATATGAGAAAAGTTCCATAACTGTTGGTCACTATTTTATTACCAAGTGCATAATACCCCTTGCTAAACTCATTTTTCTCCAAAGACTAACTTTTTCTGAGACTAGAGCGGAGGGATAACTATTCCCACCCAGCCCACCCCAAAAGAGACAGGGTCATTGACAGCCATGTTATCTGAATATTGATACACTTAATGATGAATTATTCCCCAACCTAAAAATATCCAGTGAAAGAAGTCGCTTCAGGAGAACCAAAGATGAATTAACCTTTTGAAGAACTAACATTTTTTTATCCCTTACATTTGTGTTTACTGAGTTCTTTCTGTGTGTTTGGGACTGTGCTTGGTGCTTTAAGGCATACAGATTTGTATTAGACATAGTACATGCTTTCATTTAGTCTAAATGGGGGAAATAGGCATTCATATGTAATCCTCATTAAGTAGAATGTGAAAAAATGACATAAAAGATAGATTAAAAGCTATAGGAGTATAGAAGAAGGAGTGATGTTTTCTTGGCTTAGTGTGAAATACATATTTTATTTCTGCCTTGAAGATACTGTGTACGTTGTACATACCTATTAAGTATTTGTTCAAGCAGTAAATTAGTGAACAAATGTATGTTGTAATGGATCGGATTCCTGGGTTTCTAGTAACAGAAACTCATTCATATTAAAGTGTTATGCAAAGATAGAGAAATGAGAAAAAAGAAAACTAAACAGTTGAGCCACCCTTGGGGATTGGGATCTCAACAGCCAGAGCTCACGGACCAAATTCTTTGACCAGTGAATAACTGAGCTCCAACTACCTTCTATCCTTGTATGTCTTATTCAAGATTCAGATTTCTCTAAGAGATGTGGTTGAGTTGTTGGGGTGGAGGATGGAGTATTGCGAGTGGCAACCCCACCAGAATCATGTGAAATGTTGTAGAGTCTATATTTCCCAAAGGAAAGGGGGCTGAGGAGAGCAATGATGCCAGGAAGAGAAAATCAGTACTTGTTTATTAGGAAAATGCCTCCTTTGTAAAGGGCTTACTATGGGCCAGGCACCATGGTACATTATTTGTATGGCTTTTGATATTTAATCCTTACAACAACTCTATGAGGTAGATACTATTATACCCATTTTATCAAGGGGGAAACAGGCTTATAGAAAAATATTTGCTTAGTGTTACAAAGCTAGGATGTGGTAGAGTTGAGTACGTTGCATTATCTTTTCTTTATCTTATGCCTTTGAATTATTTCCTGATCCATGTGCCACTTTGGTTTGTTCACAGGGGGACATCAAGCTTTGGTGTACGTGTTGGCCAGTTCTGAAATCCCCCTGAAGGACCACTGCATTGAGGAAGATCGAAGTCTTTGCCAATTAGGGAATGGACCGTTTGGGTTCCTTTAGCAGTAAGTACTGTGTGAACAAGTCTCAGGTGAATATTAATAGCAAACTGTAGTGGAAGTTGGTCAAAGAAGAAAAATAAGCATTTTGAAGTTAAACAAAGCTCTGTGAATCTGATCTTAAAGAAATAAGAGCATCAAATCAAAATAAAATCAACTAATAAGTAATGTAAGTGGGTTCAATCAATGAGATTGCCCACTGAACACATGACACAAACATATCACCCTAGGTTTTATAAGAAAACTAAGCTCAGATAGACCAGGCATAGTATGATTAACCTGCGTTTAGACTCAAAATAGCAGTTGGATTTCTCTTTAGCACCACTAACATATTTGTGATGGCTTGATAAGAAATAATGTCAGTGGTAGAATAAAGGAAATTCCTCTCTACCACTTTTAGGTGGAACTCAAGTTCTAAGAGTAAACCACAGGATAATAATAATACAGAGAATTATGGCGTATGTGTGAAATAAATTCAGGCAGCCAACTACAGAAAAAAATAGTGCTTTTTCTCTGATGCTGCAGATAAGAGATTTGGCAGAAATAGAAATCCATTAGGGGGCCAGCCGAGTGGTGCGTTGGTTAAGAGCTGGCTTGGGACACCAGCTCTGAGCAGCAGGGCCCCGGTTCGGATCCCACATGAGGACCAGTGACACTGCCCTCTATAGCTAAGATGGTGAACAACAGCTTGACCTGGAGCTGGGCTGCCATGAGTCGCCGGCGACAGTGTAGGCTGCAGCCCCTGCTGCAGTGGGCTGCCATAAGCTACCGTGTGTGGCTGGCAGCCAGCATGAGCAGCTGGCAGCCGGTGTGAGCTGCCAAGAGCTGCTGTGAGCGGCCATCCAGAGGCCGGCGATCGATCTGCCTCACCCAGGAAGAGCGCAATGATAATACCAACATGGGCCAGTGAAGCGATGTCCTCCACAACTAGACTGAAGAATAAAACGACAGCAACTTGTCTGTTCCCCTTCCCCTGATTCCCCAGTGCTGTTTCCCTCCCCCAATTTCCCAATTAAAAATAATCTTTAAAAAAAAAAGAAATCCATTGGTAGATGTTAGTAGTGTCCCAATGAGAAGTATCAGAAAGGTACTTTTTGGGTGTTGTTTCCTCTTCAGCAATTTCTTATAGGGGCTCTAATTTACTCTCTCATCACACCCTATATAAATTTAGTACAGAATAAAGTCTTCAAACACATCTAGTACAAATCTCTCATTTTGCACATAGAAAAGGAACCAAATTAATTGTCCCTCTCCTTTTTAAAAATAATTTTTAAACTTTTTATTTGGAAGTAATTTTAAACTTATAGGAAAGTTGGAAGAATAAGAATAGTACAAAGGATATCTGTATACCTTTAATCTATTACTCCATTTGCATGCTTTTTCTATCTCTCTCAATAAATATATATATTTATATATTCACATATATCTATATATAGACATACACACACGCCTTTTTTTTTTCAGAGTCATCTTGGAAACTGCAACTTTAAGTGAAAACGACATATAAGAAACCAATTTTACCATAGGCTAATTGATATTAACAAGAGTTAAGTTCTGTGGCATATTTCTGGTCACAAAAACATCACCAAAGACTCAAAACACTTCTAATATTAAACATGGAAATAAGTGTGAGCTATACTTATATTTAAGAAAGAGGAATAAAAACAAGATAATTCTTTCCCAATCCACTTATTCCAGTTCAGGATCTCAGGTGGCCAGAGCCTATTCTGGCAGCTCAGGGCGCAAGGTGGGATCCCACCCAGGAGAGGACGCCCTTCCATCACAGGGCACACTCACACACACCCCACACTCACTCATACTGGGACAATTTAGACAATACCAGTTGACCTCACATGCACATCTTTGGGATGAGGGAGGAAACGAGTTCCAGAAAAAACCCACTCACATGGGGAGAATGTAGAAAGCTCACAGTGGCTCCGGCCAGGAATTGATATTTTTTCTCTCATCAGCATTATAATAAAATGACAAACAAAAAAATGTTATCTGAGGACCAGCTGAATATCTTGGCCCTTTATTCCTAAGTACTTTACTGTTTATTTACTAAAAATAGGTATATTCTATTATATAACCTCAGTAGTGTTATCAACTTCAGTAAATTCAACATTAGAAAAAAATATTTTTGTCTATCCTACTGCCTGTTTGGGGTAACCGGGGACACACAGATCTGCATTTTTATGACTTTAGGGAGTTTGGATTGTATTCCTCACCTTAATACTTAAGAGACAATACTGTCATTGGAATTAAAGGAAGGTCTGCTATGTTCTTAATGTGGGAGAAAAGGAGGGAGCTTTCCTGGGTTTAATTCCCAGCTCAAATATAAGGTGGTATATCCCAAGACATATATTTAAAGTTTTTCCGGGCTGGCTGAGTGGCTCAGTTGGTTAAGAGTTGGCTTCAGAGCACGAGCTCTGAGCAACTGGGCCACCAGTTCGATTTCCACATGGGCCAGTGATGCTGCGCCCAAGTTGAGCTGCTGCTGAGCTGCCAACAAGTGCCAGGATGGCTCAGCTGCTGAGAGCACATGCTCCTAACA